GTCAGTGGTATTGATAGTATCTACTTCCTCAGGGAATCCGTGGGCTGTCCATCACCATTAGTGCTTCCTTGGGGGCCCCCAAGATGTTACAAGGTGGTGTTACAGGTAAAAGAGATTCAGTGCTGCTGGACAAGCATGGAGCCTGACAGAGCGTGTAAAGGTCAAATGGGAGCAGGACATGGGTTTTTACTGCTGCTGATAGGCAGGCCTCTGCTAATGGAAAAAGGACCCTAAACAACAGTAGGATTAGCCCTTCACGCTTGTTTGGTTATAGCTGCCTTCCTCCTTAAACACCCTTCAAACAGCTGATTTTTGATTGGTCAAATCATGTATATATATATGTGTGTGTGTGTGTGTGTGTGTGTATCCAGAAATCCTATCAAATCAATGAACCAAGGTACCTAGAGAAAATCACTCTGTTAAGCCTTTGCTGAATGCCTGTCTTAGTAACACTGAGTGTTTGGGTTGGAGCAAATCCTGAGGCCATGTGCCATATTTCACAATGACCTCCCTCCCAATATCATGATTTGATGTTGTAACATTCAAGAGAAGAACATAATTTTGTCAATAAATATGTATTGAATTTCTGATCAAGATAGAACATCAGCATTTTAATTAGAGAATAATCATTATCCATTTAGATTGTGAGTTTAAAATTCAACATAAAAAAATTAGGTATTGGGCTGGTATATTATTAGGATTATTCCTAATTATTTGAAGGAGGTAAAGATGTAAAGCCTGAACTCAAAGGTTTGCTTTGAGTCAAAGTTAACTCTTTTGGGGGGAATTAGCTCCTAAAATATTCATGACGAAATATGAGTATAATAAGTACTTAAGCAAGAAAAATAGAATTTCATGGTTGAAAAGCTATTTGCAGTAGTCAAATATGCATTTGCATCAAACCCAAGTAAACTCATGCTACAGTAATTATGAAGCATTGGAAGGGTACTAGAATATGTTCAGACTCAGGTAAGCTTCAGAAGAGTGATCTCTCTCCCAGAAGTGATTATGTAATGATAATTTTCTAAAAATAATTTGAAGGTGAATTAACCTAAACCTTAATTTTCTGTATATTTAGAGGAAAGATACACACCCTGAAGTATAATGACAGAGGGGCTGTGTGCAGTAGATCTTATGGGTTTACTCTTCACACTTCATTGACTGAGGGAGATAACTTGAATGTCAATATCGGAATGCATTTGTAAAATTAAAGCCTGTGACCCCACTGGTCTATTCTTATCTTTTGTCTTTCCAAACTGGATCTTCTCTTTCTTAAACCTCACAGGCCTTAGGTCGTCTACTATTGTATTTCTTTGGACATTAGGTTTAGCAAACTCGATTTTAGAAATTGTTTTATGTTTCATACTGATTTTTCAAACACCCAGGCTAAAAGTAAAAATTCTGTCAGTTATACAAACATATCCAAATATCTAGGGATTTTATATTGGGAAGGCAAGATAGCTAAGAGCTGACAGCATTTTATAGTTTCCATGGGTTTAAAGATATAACCCTGTAGTGTTTCCCCAGTCCTTGAAAATCATTGAAATGAATCAAAGATTTATTTTACTTCATTTTATTTTTTGGCTGTATCTATTTTACCATGAAAATTATGAAACTGATCAGGTGAGTGGTGTGAATCTGACACTAATTTGATTTAATTACACCAGAATTGTTGCCAGCTGAAATCATGGGCATTAATATTATGAGATGCAGCAGGCAATTCATCAGAAAAGAAGTTTGGGAAACTGTCTGGGTCTTTGTAACTGCTAGAATCCAGGGAGATCCAAGACTGGAGTCACAGAAGGTGAATAGAAATGATTTGTTAGTACAGATATAAACAGAATCTTCCCCCCCAGTCCCGCCCCTGTAGGGCCATGCGAATCAGGGTCCTGCTTCCAAGTTGAAGAGCCCTTTAATCTCTTCAGGCAGGTGATTATCTCCTTAAAAGTTCCCATGGAAAAAGATATCCCAATTTCCCTTTAAAGACTGAATGTTGCTATAAAGGAATGTCAATGCTGGGAATTAGGATTTTTGCAAACTGAAAGTGTGGATTTCTTTTCTTTGATCATCGGGTTTGCTTTAATTCTACTAAATGTCAGGCACTGTTTTGAATATTTGGGATAAAGTGGAACAAAGGGGATAAGACACTTGCACATAAACTTCTATTCTAATGGAATAAAAGATAGTAAATACCATAAACAGCATAATTCCAAATGCTATGAAGTAAAACAGTGGATTGGTGAGGACATAGATGCTTTAGAGAATTTGATTAGGTATGGCTCTGTTTGGGGACTGATATATACCCGAATGGAGAGAAGATGAAATGGTCAAAATGATATGGTGTATTGGACAGAATTCCAGATGTGTGACATTGGATTAGTTTCTGTGGACACCATTTTCTGGTTCTATTAGCCAGCATATGTTTTTGGTAATAGATTATCTGCTAATCAAATTTCATGTCTGCCCAAGGTGAGTGCTTCTGAACTGAATTGCCTCATATTTCTGGAGGGATGTGGGATTCCTGGTGAACCCTTCTTAATAAAGATCTCAGAGAACAGCTTGACAGAGGAGGCAGGCCTGGCTTCTCATCCATGATCAATGTTCTACCTACAGCAAATAATACTTTCAAAATCAGGCAGCCTAATGCTCGAAGGCCATATGAAGTTACTGGTATACACTAAGCAACTTGGATTTCCAAGGATGTGCTTATTTAACCCAACTAGACTGTGGTTGACAATCTGATGATAGGCTACCTCCCTTTGGACCCATGTAGTGTTTGACTGTTATACTCCTTTTTTCTAAACCACCAACAGTCAGAAAGGGACAGATGGCAATCTCATTTCTTTGCTGAAGCTGGTAACATGGTAAAGATGATAGACATTCACTAGAGGTATAATACAGGCTTGGGTCCTAGAACACAGGGCATTGGAGCCCTAAGATCAGGTTTCTCCCTCTAGAGTGAGTGAGAAGCTGGTTACCAGGTCTATTTGGCTTGTGGAATAAAGCACCTTCAAGCAGTGTATGTCAGTACCACAGGTACATTCCACTAACTGAGGCTCACTAATCCCACCTGACAGTCTCCTTCTTATTATGGCCTTTTAAAGATGTTTTTTCTATGTTCCATGGGAATTAAGTCTGAAAGATAAAAATAATGTTTTGAAGAAAAACAAAAGAAGGAGGGGCTTCACTGATGCTAAATGCTGCCTCTTCTTCATTGAGAGGGTAAATGCTCAAGAAAAATCCTGTAATTAAGAAATCTATTTTAGTTTGTTTTACAAGCCAGCCCCAAGCTTAGTTGCCTATGTAAACTTTTTTCCCTCTCACAGAATATCTATTAGTATCTTGCTGAAAACAAACAGTTTAGAATTTGTTTCAGAGGGAACATTTAAAAGGAAGCGTAGTGGAAAACTGACAGCGATGAGAATAGGCTTTTGTTTAGAAAAAGGCAGAGCAAGCGCACTGATATTGAAATGGTTTTATCAATGCTTTAATAAGATATTTTCTTATGTAGGAGTAGAACTGAGATTAGGAAAGAAACTGTCTTCTATGCAAACCCCTGGTAAAGCCATTTCAGAGCGTTTGCTCAGAGTCTCAGAATGACCATGTAATCTTATTAGAACAAAGTGTGCAATTAGAAGCTTATAATTACTAAATCTTTCTCAAGTTTCTTAATTTTAGTGCCAGAATTTGATGACAGGATGGGTTCTCAGAGGAACAGAAACTGCTTCTAGCTTGCTGCTGCTGTATTGGAAAATCAATTCATCCTTAATGGCTTGCAAGTGATTTTGACTTCTAGAATGCTTCAAATTTAGACTTCTAATTTGGAAACTTTATACTGATTTGGAAATCTTTATACTAGGTGGCAACACAGGAAACTGCTCTCCTTTAATTGCAAGGCTAACCGATTCCTATTCTTTTTGGTTTGACTTCCTAAATGAAAATGTGCAACTGGGGAATAGATACTCAGACTATGATTCAGACTTCTGAAGCCTCCAGCCTCTGCTCTTTTATCTTGTCTTTGTCATTGCTGTCTTAATGTACTTTAAAGTGTGTCTCTGAAATTGGTCCTTGTCGTTGCTGTTATCTGTGTGTTCTGAACAGTTACTCTGATAGTCGCCTAGATGCCATTGATCAAAGCCTGTCTGGCCTTCAATATGATTACATTAAGATTGATATTCATCTTAATGGAGAGTAGATCTTAGGGCCATGGGTAGGACTATTTCTTTTTCAGTCTCTTAGTATTAAGATATGACTTATGAATTTTTTTGCCATTGTATAAAAGCAGTTAGTGGCTGAAGAAATTGGTAAAACTAGGTGACAGCAGAAAGACTAGGAAGTTAAAATGAATTGCTCCCCATTCACTCAGATTTCAAAACTTGAAGTAGCAGTGTAAAAATATTTAGATCCTCTTAAGCCCCATTTTATCTTTAGCTCAAGTTTCTGCACTTAGCACCTAGGATTAGAGAAGAATAAAACAATATGCAATTACCACATGCAAGTCTTTGTGAAGATCTGGTAATACCCTGGAAGGCAGATATGAAAGAGCAAATGGCAGTAATTTTTCCACACTCTGTTATTTTGATATTTGATATTTACTAATGTAAAATTTCTCACTTAATATTGATGATCTGTCATTATCCAGTTGTAAAGATTTTTGTAAACAGGAAACTGATTTCTGTCAGCCCTTCTGCCATCATCTCTTTCTCTTGTTTATTGCTCTGTCATTCAAAATTACCTTCAGACTCAAAAGGGTCTATTCTGTTTTCTTGCTTTTATTTTCCTTGTCACTTGAAATCTCTACTTCCATACTCTCTGGTTTAAGGATAACAGATTCTTTCGTTTTTGTTAAATGACTCTGAGGCTCAAACTTGGAATTTTTCAAAGAACAGTGGCCCTCGCTTCTGAGTTAAAGATTGTGGATCCTGAATGCCTCAGGAGGCTCCTTATGACAGCTCTAAACTGTTTTCAAATCAGAAAGATATCCCAGGATAGCTGGGCCC